AGAACGGATGAATGGTAACCTTAGAAAAGCATCAATTGGTTCAAATGTCCAAGCAGGACTATCAAATTTACTGAGCATGTTCTTGGCATACTTAGGATATACTTGAATTGGTCTCTTCAAAATGATTCTCTGCACTTACTCAACTTTCATAGTTGTAAGTTCATTTTATTGGTGTTATATATCTTTTCTTTTTTATGAGATTATTTTGTGCAACTGAAAGAATCAATAGAAATTATCATAAAAAGTATTTTATAAAACTTCAAAAAATACCAAAATTGTTCTTGAACTTTAATTTCGATACCAAAATAATCCTTTCCACAATCTCGACACCGGTACAGTGCCGACACACTGATCTGGTGTCGACACTATATTGCATGCACAGAAATTTCCAACACGGAACGTGGTGTTGGCACATATTTCAGGGATCGACACCATACGTAAATGTTGGAAATTGTATGGCTTTCAAATTGTCAAGTTGTTGGATTGGAGTACTCCTTGTACTCCGTTTATTAATAAATAAAATAATATTTTTTGTTATTCAAAAAAAAAAAACTTACCACACAATCAATTCTTTTTTAATATAATAATGACATGTACAATTAAACAATCATATTTTGTTATTATGGTGTATATTCATTTATATATCAGATTAATATATAATTAAAAATGAAAAACCAAATTGATATTTGTAATCAAAATTTAAGGATTGAGCTAATACTTGTTTTCAAAATTCAAGGACTATTTTAGTACCAAAAATTAAAGTTTAGGAACAATTTTGGTATTTTTTGAAGTTAAAGAACAATTTTGGTAATTTTGATATAAATCTAAAAGTTGAGGGACCAAATTGATCCTTAACGTAAACAACAAGTGCTATATGCAAATAAAGGTAATGTTATTGCACACCCTCAATTATTAATATCATATCTTTTTATTTTAATTGATTATTATACCCTTTAATTTATTAAGAAACAACAAAAATGTAAATTTTTTTTTAAAAAAATGTAATATAAGATAGTGTAATAAACAATTAAATTAAAAAAGTATAGTATTAATTATTGAATTAGTGCTTCTCCACCTTACCTCCAAAGAATTAAGAGGAAAAATGATAAAAATTACCTTAATGCATACTTTAAAAATATAGTAGTTTAATCTTTTTCAATAAAAATTTATTGAAATGACGTAGTTTTGAGATGATTTTCCTCTTAATCTTTAGGTAAGGCTGATACACACTATTTCTTTAATTATTTAGAATGCGACAATAATCTTACCCTACAAATAAGGGCAAGAATAACAATCTGAAAACAACATGCTAGCTTCCCTTACAATTCATCTTCTTAGTATCCAATTACATTTTAACAGATAAAGACCTTACAGGATGAGATCCCCACTTCATAAAGGAAATGTTTTCCAAAATCAGAAGGACAATGGCTTTAGGGCCCCCTTGCCATCTATGTTGATGGAAGACGTCCACACAGGTGTTCACTAAGACGGATTGTAGCCCACACCAATTTAAACATCTCATCCATAACTTTTAGGCGTGATCACATGATACCCATACGTAATTGAGACGGTACGTACCAGATCGCTCATTTGGCTCTAGAGAAGAAACAGGTAACTGAAATTGCATTTCTCTTCACATGACAGGGGGTTTCAGCTGGGAGAGTACACTTGAATATGTATCCAGTTACAACCCCTGGACTCCGGCGTTGATACGGCCTTCGTTGGTTTGGCCGGCCCTGGTTTAGCCCTCTCAGGTGTTGTTAATATTGCTAAGCCTTGGACTCACCTTCAAAGAAATAAAAATTGAGGTCTGCATATATAAGTTTGCAATTAACCTTATTTTCCACTCTATTGTGTGTACATTACAGCTTTACTCTCCGGCTACTCGACTGCAGAATATGGAAATATGGATATTTAGGTTACTTGGTATTATTGATCCGAAAGCAAGGAATGCTCGGCCTCAGAACTTCAGTGATCTTTGCGAAATTCCAAAAAGGATTAGGAGCACTTTTTGGCCTTTTTTTAGTATACATGGCAAAATTCCGCATGGGTCTCGCCAGAATGACTTTCTACACATATGCAACTTTCATCCCTGTAAGCTCATTTTTCTAGCTGCGTCTTTAATTCGGTGGTATAAAAACAGGTGTGCCTCAGACTTTTCATCTCTCTGAGTTTTGGGATATTTGTGTTTTGCTTCCTGAATGAGTACAGAGTTGCACTTCACATCTTGTGTTTTTCTGACTGTGTTGGTTACGAGATTAAATTGATAATTAATACTTAACGAAAACATTTCACTAAATATAAATATATATAATCATTTTT